TTAGCGCGCACCTTGACGAACCGCGCTCACGTGAAAACTAGCAAACCACCCAAACACAGTCCGAGGGTCACTTGATTGGATCGGCGAGAAGGACGCCGTGCTGCGATTGGTGGATGCAGTTACAGTGCGGGGCTGATACAAAAGTTATTTAAAGGGAAAATAGTTCAGCTTTAATGTAGAAGAATCTGAGCACAATTATTGACTTTTATATGTGAAAAATTAGAGTAGAATAGAATAGAATAGTCCTTTATTGTAATTGCACATGTACAACAAAATTCTACATGAATAACATATAAATATTAAGACGGCATAAATAAATAACAAACAGGATAAATATGTACAAAACAAGAGGAATATATACAAAACAATAGAAGGACACACATTAGTGAACAGGATGCAACATGCTTGAAAGTAGTGCAGAGGACTTGGTCTGAATATAGTTCATGTGTGAGTGACCTGAGTATTAAGGTAGATCAAGAGTTATGACAGATCACCTTTTAATCTACTCGTGACAGTATTAAAGTATTAAATCACATGAGATTTCAAACTGCAGGAAAATCACTGGAGTTATAAGAGGCAGACAACTAGACACACCACATGTATGCTATTGCTATTTATTGTGGTTTAACCTGTCAAGGACAAAAATGTAAAGAAAATTCTGCATCAAGCGTTGAAATCATAGCTTTCCTACTTTTGGTAAGCCTGGATTGGTGGCATGATGGTTAGTGCTGCTGTCTCCCAGTAAGAAGGTCCTGGTTCAAATCCACCATCTGGTACAAATGGTTGTTTGTCTCTATGTGATAGAATGGCGAGCTGTCTGGGGTGTACCCTTCCTTGTAACCTATCACTTCAGGATTAAGCCCCAGCCCCCCTGCAACCAGGATAAAAATAGGAGGACGGTAGTTGTTGTAGATCCATTTGCTTTTTATGGTAACCAGACTCTAGACTTTGTTGAACATTATGTAATATGAAGACAACATGTAGTATTTAAGTGCCCAAGTAGTATTGGGCTAAAAGTTATTGAATAGTGTTGAAATAAAATGACAAAATTGTGAAGGATTAAAATATTCCAAGAGCTCAACTTACTTCATCTAAACATGTTTCAATTGCATTTTATGAACACAAAATGCACAGGTTTATTAAATATGAATAAGTTGTGTTGATTTAACTTATTTGTTTAAGTTTCTGCCAAAGCAAAACATTTGCGTGCAACCAATGTCCACTATTGAATTAAGTACATCCAACATGGCCTTTTTTTCAGTGCTTTGTAGCTTAACTCTGAACTAAACACCCATGCACTAGGAGAGCACACTCTCCACTGAGGAGCAAGGGAAGGCCAGCAGCAGCTTCTGGTCCAGGTTATTCTTCCTTAGAACACGGAAGAAGAGCAGCGGCTGCTAGGCCTTCTCTACCAGGGCATTGTTGTTTTGACATGATTACATTCATTATTTATGTCACATAAGTATACAGATAACATAATTTTATTTATTTGGTTGTATTTCTGCATAATCTCTAAAAAGAATGGGTGTGTTTTTCTTATAATTTAAAGGTTTACTGAATTACATATAAAAACATAAACACAGAACAAGGCAGTTCAAATACACTGACACGAGTACGGTGTGCAAAGAAATGTGTACAGTAAGTTATTGGGTGATATACATTTGCCAAACATCTAGTGCACAGTCTCAAGATCAATACAGGCTATGTTTCCACTTTGTCTTTGGATTTGAACCCACATAAACTGTCCCAGTGATCTTTCCTGTTCATTTTTACAGTTAAGCCTTATTAACATCCTCTCACATGCAGCAACAGTGTTCATCATCTGTCCAGAATGGGACTATGCTATATATTTTACAGAATTCAAGTGCAATAACTCAATTCTAACAGCCTATTGCAAAACCTTTGAACTCGTGGCTTATTAATTAAATAATGCTAAGCAAATTATTTAAATTAGTATAAAAATAACCCTTATTTATAACAGTGTTTTGAGTGTGTGCAGGACAAATGTTTTTTAAAATTTTCTTGGTTTTAGTCAAAGGTGTCTTTTCTTCCTCACTACATCCACACACCTCCTCTGGTCTTTCTCTGTTTCTCCACAAGGACCTCCTGTTACACAGCTAAAGTCGTTGCATCGTCTGCTCTGCCACCACCAGCTCAGCCTCCAGTCGTTTTGTCAGTGTCACTGTCTCCAACCCGTACATCACCTCGTTACCACCTTATATACAGTTGGGTGTCTGTTATTGTCATTTAATTTTGCCGTTTTTACTTTACAGAATAAATAATGTACATCATGATGTGTCATTAAGACTGATTTAAATATCAATGATGAATGTCATTATTTTGCTAAAAGAGTTAGCTTATAAACTTATAAACCTATCTGTCTCATGGATCTCATAGATCTCTGTCTAAATAAATAAATATATCTGGGTAAATTTCCAGATGATCAAACATGCAACTATTTTGCTGGTAATACCTGAAACGAGTAAAGAAAATCAACAGCCTATTTATGCAAGCTAATTTGTAATTGATTGGGGGGCACGACCCCACTGGAAATTACGCCCTTGGTTTCAGTGGTCTATCATTGCCGATATCATTACAATACTGATACGTTTAGCTAATATGTAGGGGTGAACCAGCTTATGTAGGGGAGACCCGTGTGTCATAATAACTTATGAGATGAAACATTAATTTGCAAACTCTGGACACGTTTTAAAGACCACTAAATCACTGTGAGTTTTATTTTCCACAATAGTTAGTTAACACAACAAAACACACCTTTCAGCTTTTCATGAATTTTGAAAAACGTAATTGCGACATTTTTATTTTTTTATTTCAAAAAAATAAAAAAATAAACATCTGACACAATTCAGAGGGCTACATACCGAACAGAGGATAGAAACAAAGTATCGATCCTATCTCGCTGGTATGCTTCTGACACCCCACCAGCTGCGATGGGCTCAGACGGGAGATGTTATACTTACAGACGCACTGAAATCGTTACAGTAAAATATTGTTTTCAGAGTTCCTCCCTCTCAGCAGAAAATGAAAGTGAAAGTAACTGACGTGAAAGTAACTGACTAGAAAGTAGCGGGCTATCGAGCTCGGGGAAGAAACTGCAGAGAAAGAAAAGACAAAGTGGACTCCTTGGGTTGTTGTTTTATCTTGTCCCACCGCGGTCAAGTGAGCCCTCACTATCTCACACTATGTGACAGAGATTTCTCCGTGGAGCTACAAAAACACGATGTGTAGGTCGACAATGATCACTTGTCTTGTTTTCAGCAGCATGGTAATTGTCAACTAACCCTCGGCCGTATTTCTTCCGTCAACATCAAACTTTGGTTTCTTAAGCGTTGCTGGATTTGAGGTATGGCGAAGAAATTACAACGTCCCCTTACAATTTTCCGTCACCTCCCTTTTTACAGATCCACGGGTGACAGGTCTGTGTCTCCTGAAGCTGTTTATATCTTCCTGGACTGCTACTCCCAGTAAGTCACACACACACACACACACACACACACACACACACACACACACACACACACACACACACACACACATTCATTCTGCT